TACTTTGCTGTATTAACGGTCCGCGAGACGGGAAACAGTAATTTAAATAGTCACTAATTAGTTATCAATAAACTGTACTAGTAGCTCATTGACATTATCGTATCTTGTTTACACTACACTGTAAGAGTTTCGCTTACACGTCCGTAAAAATAGTAGCAATGATTTTCGAAAGTTAATAGATCAATATAATTAAAATCTTTATTATTAGATCCTTATTATTAGATTTATTATTAGAATATCTACTTTCTGTTTCACGGTTTTAGACGATCTTATAAACGTAAAACGAACTTCTTACAGATGCGAAATTGTTCTTTCAAATTCCATTTACCGATTCGGTGGCCATTGTGACCATTGTGGCCATTGTGACCATTTTGAGAGTCTATTCTAGAGATTTGTAAATTCGGGTAGCGATCGAGGAAATTTCGATCGATCGAAAACGTTGATCGTATTTTATCGTATGCGTGCGGGAAGATAGGACTTTGATTTATTACTACGCCATCCATTGCGAATAGGTTAATTAAGTGTACTGCACACTATCCACGTTTCGCGGTTATAAATAGCTGTTCGCAGCGATCGGCGGAGGCTGTTTTCTGAGGAAGACCGGTTTAGAGGCGCGACTACTAAAGATTATTATCATTACATTTGTCTGCGAGGAAAGTCTAGCTGCAAGAGTATGAGGGAAATTTCCGGTAGGTTCACTTTCACAATTGTTTGACACTGATCGACGAAAGTAAGGTCATTTATTTTTACATAACCGTTTCAAGTTTAACGACTGGTTTATCTTCGTGGATGAACTGCGGACTGTAAATACCACGTCGCAGGACTCCCATTAATTCTGAAACGTTCTATAATTAAGCACTAATTTGATGAACATTATATATCACACTTTTTCCAGCCAATTCCCTCAACTTTGAACGATTATGCTGTTAATTGGAGAACGGCATGAAATTACTAACATACGTTGTAATATACATAAAAGCTAATTGGACCCAGTACCCCGTGCTGAAGATTAAGACTATGTTTTCTGTTTAACGTGTTTTCGAATCGTAAATGCCTTTTTAATTAGTCCGTTGAATTTAGTTGAAAATAACCATTCACACGAGTTAACACAGCGTAACATAGAATTTCTCAGGCTTTTTGCGTGCTTTCTTCATCTTTGCTAATTAACGTCACAACTGACATCAGTTGTTGGTCGAAACTACCGCATCCTTTTCAACAGTTTGTTGCTCTTGCATTTCGAAGATCATTCTAAAAGTTGTTTAACCTTTAAACAGAATTTTTTTTGTTAAATCGAAATAAAATTTTCTTATAAGTGTTAAGAAATGTTTCATTCATTGCAACTGTGATACAAATTGTAACAGAATAACATCTGATCAGGGTCACTGTCCAGAATTATTAATAAACAATGAAACACTGTTGTTTGTCTCGTTAAACTCCCATTTACGTTAACAATTGTTATCAAAAACAGTCGAGTATCCGGAAAGAAACAAACACTTAACAATTCAACGTTATTAACCGTGGGAAGTGCGATGGTTTTCTTAATTTTTTAATTAAACTTGCTCCCCGGCTGCAGCGTATGCGATCGTGTCTATTATACCCGGCGAATTGACTTCCTTGTTAGTCGCATTAAATCAGAGCAAAACAACATCAAAGAATATTGAGCACATAGGAAAGTCTTCCGGGTTTGGCCGGTGAATAAGTGTTATGGATACCTGCGAGCACTTATTCAACTGATGTAGACTTTTGGAATGGAGCATGCGTACTCTGTGCAGGAATGCAGCCATCATTTATCGCGAACTTCTTATCTTCTCTCTCCTCGACTTCAATTTCAAAAGCCTCCTCCCAAATGGATAAATACACCGCGATTGCGTCATCGGACTTCGCCGTTGTCAATCATACGATTAATTGCCTGGCACAAGATAATAATTAGATTACGATTACGTTGTACGATTCGCCAGTCGAAGAAGCTTACTTCATCGGAGTAAAATGAATATGGTTGACCAAAAGTAAACGTTTCGTTACCGTTGTTCACTGAATCGAATAATCGACAACTCATGGTCATGCAAAAAGGCATCTCGGTTATGGTCACTGCTGTTGCAATTTTTGTGCAGAAAACCGATCAAACGCTCTTCAAATAAAACTGCATTTTAGTCCCAACATTTTCTTTCTCGGATTGCGGTCGGAAGTTACGTAGCAGACAGTATAACAGCTGGAACATTCTTGTGATTTAATTAGCTGGCTTGTTGATTCGAAGCGCGGTCGGAACATCAAGCTGGAATTTTCACTCGAGTACGTTTATTGAAGAAGAAATTATTCATTTCATTCATTTATTTCTCTGTTAGATATTAAATTTATTGCTCGCGCAGGAAAATTATAAATATTTAGAAACAGAAAATAGGTGAACTTTCACTCCAAAGGACGTATGAGAGCTAATGGGCTAATCAAAGACTGTGACTATGTTTAAAAGAAGCTATATTAAGAAGTAGACATAATCATAGTCTTTTAAATAATCTTAAAATAGGTTATTAAATTAGAATAAAATCTCTATTGCTATTAAACAACTCGTTAAGAGATCTTTAGGCATCAATCACTAATTTACAACCAATTCTCTCGACAGGCGCTTTAGTATCTCCGTTATATTTAAAATAAGTAATTCTCTTTTGAATAAATAATTACAAAATAGATTGTATTACTTAAGACAACTTATTACCCTGAGAATGAGTACAACGCTATCGAACAATTCATTGAAAAATCCTCGATTATATAACATCGATTTGCAAAGGTCCGTTAAGTAACTCTGAATAGGTGGTGTCAAACTATTGCATTCAAAGTTTTTTAATTGGCCGCCGCGCAGTTTGTATCGCCCTTTGAATAGGCCTATACTAAAGTTCCCGACTTGTGCAACCGGGTAACAAGATTTGTGCGTTAATATCGAACGTTTCTTATTTCATCGATTGTCTTACTACTCCGATTTGACTTGCCATCGACGGAAGGTTTCATTGAATAGCGAACCTCGAAAGCGAACCTTGTGGGAAAAGTTTCTCAAGAGCGCGTAACTTTCTCTGCGTTAGGCTGCTTTCCCAACTCCTTTCCGCCTTCGGACTGCACACTCTCAGTCAACCAGAACGACATAAAAGTCACCTGCGAATTCGTCCTTCCGCAATTTCGTTGCGTCGAATTACAAATCAGGGTACATAATTCCTTATATACCCATGTTCCCGAGCGCCGCGGCCGGCTGAAATCACTGCCGCCACGGAATCCAATAATCCTCGGCGATTGCACGATCGCTCGGAAATTATTAATCAAATTTGCACGCGCGTTTCATAAATACCTGATCGACTCCCGCCGTCTATTATACTGAAAATAGGCGGTCAGAATTCGTGGCGGCAAAGCTGGATGAAACAATGTAACGAGCAACCCGTGACCCACGGGTCGCACGAGGCTCACCGATTGTAATAGAAATTTCAATTAGACACAGATCGTCTGAGTAACTAGGCCAAGCTGTAAAACGGCAGGAGGCACAACGAAAATTCCGAAAGGGAAATTAAATAGTCGTGAGTGATTCATCGCGTACTGCATAATATCTGACGCGAAAGTGAAGGCGTTTTAAAGATTTCAAGGTGATACCGTATTTCCTTCAACGAAATCGCATACTTTTTGCATTCCGATGATTGCGTTCCTTTATCCTTTCTAGAAAAAAATACCGGAGAACTTGTGTCGAAAGCTCGTTAGTTCGCAGGATACTTGAACTTGACCATTGTATCCGTGTACATAAGTTTATGGTTTTCAGAACATGTCGTTCAAACATTCGTAATTCTTTTGCTTTCTAAACAAACATATTTCTAACAAATGGGCAACGTATTTTATGCATTTATAGCAAAAACGGATAGACAAAATGGTTAACTTCAGTCTATTAAGATTGTTTAATAAAGATCACAAATCGCGCTTTGATCCTATTCACCTTCTGCAATTAGTGCGGATATTTTTTATTTTGCATAAAAATCCGAAATTTATTAATAAACATTACCATTTGCACAACAGAGAAGAAAGATTGATTAATTATTTCCTCCATTTCGATGTTATTGCACCATGAGCTTCAGTGAACCATAAAGTAGTATACCTTATCCTTGTTGTGCAAAACACCCCGTGTTAAGTATAATAGCATGAAAGTATGCGAGGAGAATTTTTCGATCGGCTTTCGCAGATAACGATTGCAATTGTTGTGTCCGACGATTATAAATTATGCAATCTTTCATCGAGTCAGGTACGAGACGAATCGGGTATTTTAAAGCATGGTGTTAAATTGTGCAACGTCCACTGACCCCATGACTTCGTTTTCTCACGCAGGACGTTGCACAAAGATCCCTTGTTCAGGGAACGAATTAGTGTCGCCTTTCAGCTGCTCGGGGGCTTACGGCGCGTCAATTGTTATTGAGGCCAGCGTGTTTTCTTTTCCAAAACAGGACCGTTAGGTCCTAGTCATATTCCAGGTCCTTTAACCCAGAACTTGCAGCAACGTCGTTTCTTACATCTATATTTAGATGTGTCGCTTTGCTTTACTAACTTATTTAGCACACTTAAGAAATGCTGTTTTTACGTAAAAGGCAACTGTGAGGTTGTAGATGATTATAAAGTAAATTAATCGACTGAGCAACAGCTAGAATGTAATAGAATATCGAATACAATTCCATGTAAGATTGGAAAAGGTTATCGAACATTTCTCAAGCAAAATCGAATCGTTAATCGTTAATTTATATGTAGAATATTTTATTTGTATCTTACGAAGCTACTTCAATTGTTTCACACATGTTAATCTTCGCAAGCTGGAAATAATATATCCAACTCATTTTAATCGTAAATGTAAAATCCGCCGTCTACTGATCACGTTTAAAATATCTTGAACAATTTGAAGTGTTCGATAGACGACGATATCAGGTATTATTTTAATACCATTATTGTATATTGTGTAATTAATTGGGATGTGTTGTTTGTTCGACAAGGTCTTTTAGCAATTTCCCTCGGAGAGAAGACGGTTTCTCCCGCAGTTGGAAAGGCAGAAACCACTTCCGGAAATGCGGACGACATTGTTATGTTGGAAATCGACGTAAAGGAACCTGTGAAGAGATCACCGTTACAAACCAGCCCCGATTACGGAGCTAATCAATATACTCTTCAGAGCGCTGATGCGTCTCACCAGGTAACAAGTCATTCTACAAATAATTGAGTTTTTTGATCAATTTCAGAGTTCTTTAAACCCTTGCGTTAGTGCACTCAAACCGAAGAACTATTCTGATTTTGTTGTTGTGAGAAACACCTTGTCGAAAATCCTCCATTAATATTTCATCACTCTCATTCAACAAGGAAAGATATAATTGACTTTGAAATTGACCTTGACCTCTTCAGCCTGGAAAACTTCACCTACATATGTACTCTAATGTCGTATTCGTATTCTTTCGCGTTGCAATAGAAATTTGTTCCGGACACATAGTTGCTGATAAATTCGATCGAAGTGCCATTCGTTAATATTAATTCAATTATTTGATGCGACTCTTGGAGAATATAAATTTTAAATCGATTTTATCCAAAACGTAGCAACAATTTCAATTTAAAAAAACATAAATGTATAATTTAGTAACATTTACATTTCATTTAAATTAATAGACAGTAACAAGATGAACAGAGAATAGATTATAATGTTTGCATTTATAAGTAGGTATACCAGAAATAACACTCGCACACAGAACATTTCAATTCCTATCCATTTTTGACATTTTAATTAAATTATCGACATTGTTTTGGATTACTATTTAACTAAATAGTTCCATTTTCAAACAATTTCCTAATTATTTAATATTTGGAAAGATTGCGATCAATGTTAGAACTTCGCAGTGGGAATAAGTTCAATTGTCGTAGGTCGTTGAACATTAGAGGAAGTATACAATGCAGGATCCTTGACCATAGATCGGTGTCGCGAAGTACATAATACTATTCTCGTTATCTATATTCGATATCGAAGTACCGTTGTCTACATTCCGGTAACGTAACCGAGCAATGTCCCATGATGTTAATGAACTTGCGATTGTCTACGACTCTGAAGATAACCAGTTGTCAACCTTTGTTCCTGCACTTGACACACCTTGGGCAGCGTGATTAATTGTTTATGCTAAGGAAGCACGATCAGACGCTCCGGTGAGAACTTCTGTACACATAATATTTCATAACCGATCATCATTTCGTCTTAAGAAAGAAATAAAAAGTGTGCATCATAGCAATATTATACATTTTACACACTTTCCTTTAGAAACTCCTAAAATTGAAAAAAATATTCATTGCGAGAAGAATGTTCCTGTTACGGCCAAGTGGCCAGGATTTATGGCAGGGGCCATGTGCTTGGGTACCCGGACGGTATGGGTCTGTCCCGGGCCGTTCCCAGGTACATGCAGCACCGTCATAACGTCTCCTGGTCCTTGATTACGGTCCAGTCAATGACGGTTGGGTCTGGCATTGTTCGGGCACGTAGGCCCATCAGCGCGGGATGTCTCGCAGGAGTTATTTTGCCACTCTCTCTCCTAACTCCCGGCCCACCGTTTTGGGGCAGTCTCACTGGATTTGGGATTGCAGTGATTGGACCGTAATTCCTTGCCGTCCACCCTAGGTCAAGAGAAGTAGGGAGGACCGAGGTCATATTAGGCATGACTCCGGTCCTCTAGAGGACAGACAGAAAGCACAGACAAGACAGACAACAGACAAGACAGACTTTCAGACAGAACAGAACAGAACACATAGAGAGATACGCGTAACGGTTAGGTTGCGCGTTACAAATAGAGTCCCACTACAGTGAGTGGTCCTTCGAGGTAGTCGGCACCAAGTGCAATATTCAGAGGATCTCCGTCATCCATCTGATGAGTCCTCAACAGTTCCTCTGTCATATTTTTTGAAGTTTCAATATTCCCTCGTAGAAACTACTAACAATAATCCCGTTAACATCAAACACAAAGATAAACAAATAGCACAACAATGACTGATTCACCAAAAATAATGAAGTTTATTTTGTAGTTTAAAGTAGAGAAGAATTCTTGAAAATTATTTACAGAGGAATATTCGATCGGTGACCTATTTTGCCGACAATTTTCAATAAATACATATGCTATTTAATTTGTTAACAACGATCGACAAATATTCAATCGTTCTTCGTGTTGATCCGCTTTGGATCGATCGAAGTTCGTGAAATAATAAACGGTAGGTATTCATGAGTAAACGCAACAGAGATTGACGGAATATATATCCTTTCAAGGATAACATAACAAATGACCAATAATGCCGCCATGTCTGCCTTTCTTGTCCCAAGACAATAAGTGTTCCTAGAAACGGGCAACATCATTGCTCTCGGTCAACCGTGACTATTGGCCGCCTATCACTGGCCAACATAGTGACTAACTTCGTAAAGTATAGCCATGAGCAGTGCAGATTTTTCTTTTCCATTAGAACGGAGGGCTCGCCTTCATTATCTAGATATTTCGTTGCGACAACTGCAATTGGTTCAATACCATTGGTTTCCATACCTGCGATTACCATTGTCACTTCACTGGTCTCTAATACCTCAAACATATTGCAGATTTTACACGTTTTTCACTGTGCCGTTTCTCTTAAAGAGCGGACATTCACAAAACCAACTTTCCCAGGAATCTCTATCCGTAATACTTTCTTACACACTGATAAACGATAAAGCATTATGTAAAATCAATTACAGATTATTTATGGTCGTTTGGGTTTTCTGCTTTTCCTTTATGTAATAATGTTGATTTTCTTGTTAGCACCATTGTGATAGACATATACTGAAATTCGTATTTAGTAGTATTGATTTTGTTTAAATAACTGGAGCATTTCACACACAACAAGAATGAGAATCGATGTTTGTGGAATCTATTTCCAAGTAACATTTCGCCATAAAACATACCGTTCAATGTAACTTCATATTTATTTCCACCTCGAATAGAGCAATACAAGGCCTTTTTCGGGTTTTCCCGACGCAAGGCGTACACCCCGCAATAAAACAATAAAAACGTTGGGACACAGCTTCGGACCATAGGTCCCGGATCACCCCGGTCGGAAAATCTTCGAGAAAGGCCTTCGCCCTTCCCGAGGACTTTCCCTTACCAATTTCGAGGACTTTCCCTTACCAATTTCAAGGACTTTCCCTACCAATAAATACGAGGACCTCTCGACCGAGAGAAACCAGTTAGCAAGTTTTCCTCCGACTCTCAACGTGTCCATATTTCTGTATCATCCGTCACTCGTTTACCTTTACCTTCTACACACTGTAACTCATCGCCTTTTGTTACAAGTTATATTAAAGTTCTCGTTATATAAAAACCAAAAAAACTCTCGGATTATTTTATATAAACCGTCGCAGTAACCCCTGCGACAAAGTATCAAAAGAAATCACAGTTTTTCCTCATTCTTCCATAATAATCTGGGTTAAAATACTTGAGTTATTTGAAAGTGAGAGGAACTGAATTCCAGAGCCTAGGAATTCACGAAATCGTAAATCCTCCTTTTAAAGCAGCCTGTGGTGCAGCAAATTTACTGTACTCGGTCAACAGAATATGCTTTAATTGCACTGTATAACCGCAGAATAAATATTATGTTAATCCATTAATTCTTTTTTACAACGATAAAACTGTAGAATGTAATTAATTTATCCAATAATCTGCAGCTTATCCTGTGACAATAAAAACTACATTCTTTCGTATTTTTATCGAGTATTCACTCAACAAAAATAGAAATGAAGTTAATAACTCTGACGTATGCTTATGATTTACTAGGATAAGTTTCGAATTTGATAAATTACTATCTTGCCTGTAAGTATAATTTTTATTAGAATTGAATTGGTGTAAAAAATTTCTATTGTTAAAGTGAAAATTTTGTATAGAAAATTGCTATTCTTATATTAAAACTAAATTATTATACAGAGAATTGCTATTTTAATTGAAAGTAGAATTTCGTATGGAAAATT